GTCTGTGTCTCTGTCTGTGTCTCTGTCTGTGTCTCAGTCTGTGTCTCTGTCTCTGTGTCTCTGTGTCTGTCTGTGAAAATAAATACAGCACAAACTGATGAACTACATATGGAGTAACTCACACAGACTGATCCAGTTCCAGGGTTTTTCCCAAAATGAGACGAGCAGCTTCACTCAGTTGTGTCTCAGATAAAGTTCACTTTAGATAAGAGACTCTCTGAGCGCTTCGTGTTCAGTGTGGGAACAGTTGTAAAGTGTTGACCTTCTGTGTAAACAGCATTGAGTTAATGCACATTATGATTCGGTGCCTTACAAATTGAATTGAATCATTACCTGCATGGCTCCAGACGTGCTGTGTAAAGTCACCGTCAGCAGGATCTAAGACGTAACCACGCTGCGGCTGTGAGTTCGTCCTGTAGCTCAGTGCCGGTTCTTTCTTTCTCTGTTCAGGAGCTTCGTGAAGGAGGCGGAGGATATCGGAGCCAGTCGCCGGATGAACAGCCTGACGCTGAACCGTCACACTGAGATTCTGGAGATCCTGGAGATCCCGCAGCTCATGGACACCTGCGTCCGAAACGGATACTACGAGGAGGCTCTGGAGCTGGCGGCGTACGTCAAGAGGCTGGAGAAGAAACACTCCTCGCTCCCGGTCATTCAGGTGAGTCTGATAGAAGATGCTACCGTTCTGTTTTTAAGATGCAGACCTGGAAACTCAGGAGGAATGAAAATGACGAGAGTTATGACTTTCAGAACATTTAAGGTTCTGGAGAAAAAGACTTTTGAAGACATCACTTCATCCAGGGCGTCTCTCACTGTCATTTTCTGGAAAACTTAAATATTTAATAATGTAATTATTCAATCATTCTGTCACTGAGCTGTTTAAAGTTCACTGTGACGGTTAAAACGTTTTCAGGTCGTCTGATTTTTGTCTTATTTTCAGGGGATCGTGCGTGAAGTGCGTCAGTCGACTCAGCTGATGCTCAACCAGCTGTTGCAGCAGCTGCGCAGCAACTCGCAGCTTCCCGTCTGCCTTCGAGTGATTGGTTACCTGCGGAGGATGGACGTGTTCACGGAGGCGGAGCTAAGGGTGAAATTCCTCCAGGCCCGCAGCACCTGGCTGAACTCCATCCTCGCCGCCATCCCTGAAGACGACGCCTACTTCCACATCACCAAAACCATCGAAGCGTGCAGGGTCCACCTCTTTGACATCATCACCCAGTACCGGGCCATCTTCTCTGACGAGGACCCGCTGGTTCCCCCCCTCAGTGGGCAGGTGGTGGTGAACGAGGGGGCCATCTTCCACGGCTGGGTGGTGCAGAAGGTGGCGGAGTTCCTGGAGACCTTAGACAGGGACCTGCAGCGGGGCGTGGGGGGTCGCCTGGATTCTCTGCTGGGTCAGTGCATGTACTTTGGGCTGTCCTTCAGTAGGGTGGGGGCTGATTTTCGCGGGCAGCTAGCGCCCATGTTCCAGCGGGTGGCGGTGGAGACGTTCAGCAGAGCCGCGCAGGAGGCCGTGGACAAGTTCCAGGAGGACATGAACCTGTACACGCTGATCGCCCTGCCGTCAGTGCTGGGAGGGACCATCCCCCCCGTGACCCCCAGCATTCAGCCCGGCACCCTGCAGCCCCCCATGTCCCTGCTGGACTTTCAGCCGTTGGCCTGCTTCCTCAACAACATTCTGACCGCCTTCAACGACCTCCGGCTCTGCTGCCCTGTCGGCCTGGCCCAGGACGTCACCAGCTGTCTGGAAGACGCTCTGCAGAAGGTGAGCAGCTGTTCCTGGTCACCTGACACACTCACACACTCTCAGACTCGATCAGCTGATGTGGACAGACCTCTGCACATGAGCCTCCTGTGTCCTCAGTGCTGTTGGTCTTGTTTCCTGTCAGGTGACTCGTCAGATCTTGGTGTTTCATCGGGCCGAAGAGTCGGCGTTCAGCAGCCGAGAGAAGGAGCTGTTTGTCCAGTTCTGCTGCTCGTACGCTGAAGATCTGCTGCCGTTCCTCAACCGGTGTCTGCAGCTCCTGTTTCCTCCGGCTCAGGTCGCTCTCATCCTGGGTGAGAGACGCTCAGATTTTCACAGTTGCATGGAAACATATTTTCTCTGTTTGGGACCAAAAGCTTAAATATGAGTCAGTGGAGTCCAGAGTGGAGGAAGTAATCAGAGGGCGGACGTGGTTGTTCCTGTGTGAGTTTAAAACGCGTCAGTGACGTTCTGAACTGGTTCTTTGTGTCTCTGCAGGTGTTCCTCCGACTCAGCTGCACAGGTACGACAGTCTGGGCTGCATCGACTTCACCGCAGTCCTCGAGCCTCTGGACTTTTTGCTTCCACAGAAAGAGACTCTGGCTCCGCCACCGGCGCCCGACGACGATCTCGCCACCGAGCTGAGCAGCCTGGCGTTTGAGACGCCGCTCAAAGAACCGGGAACAGATCTCGAACAGACGCTGACGCAGTCGAGTCCTGGAGACCCAGAGTCTGAGGCCGCTGCTGAAGTGACAGAGCCGAAGTCCGAGGGTGGAGACGAAGAGACAGCGCTGGACGAAGAGTTTTCTTTAGAGTAAACAACGAGAATCTGATGATGAGTCAGGACTCGGGTGGAAGAATCATTCTGGACGGTGGTGATGGTCACTAAACTAAATGATAAGAAACTTTTATATAACGTTCTCTTGAAAGAGAAAGATTCAGAATCAGCTGATTTATTGGTGGTGGTATCTGTTGACGTCAGACTTGAGCTTCACCCTTCAATAAAATCACCAAACCTTCTCTTTGCTTTTAGGAATTCATCGTCTTTATATACAAACTTCAAACAAACCTTCTGATCCAGGAACGTTCAGCAGAATAATCAGAACTGATTTAGTCGTGGTTGGTTTGTCATCAGCTGCTCAGTGTTTGGATGAGATCATATTTCAGTTCTACAGCAACTTGTCAAAATGAAGTTGTCTTTCTTACGGAATAAAATCTGATCTCAGATCTACTGGAGGTAAATGACAATGTGAGAATATGTAACATTCCAGTGCCTTCATGATACAGCTGTGAGGTAAGCTGTAAAGTTTCACGTATTAAAG